CCTCCCGCGGAGCAGCGATGCCGGTGCGCAAAAGGTCACCTGCGGCCTGCGACTTCGATGGGCGCAGGCTCTACTTGGGGGATCAGGGGACTTGTTAAGTAGGGCACCCTAAACCCGAAGCCCTAAACCCTAAACCGTTCAGGGTTTAGGGTTTAGGGTTTAGGGTTTAGGATTTTCGAGTTTGGGATCGAGGCTTACGGCTGGGGTGTATCTGGACTCGCGGGCTTGGCAACCCCATGAAGCATCGCCTCAATGTCCTTTAGCATGATGTCGGGGCCGTAGTATTTTGGAGGGTATACTATAGCAAGGCTTACAATCAGGATCGTAGTTCTAGTTATTCAGGCTTCTATACTGTTAAGGGTTTAGCTTAGATCCTAAACCCTAAACCCACAAGCCCTGAAACCATGGCTCCGAACCGCTAAACTCCCAAGCCTAAAGCCCTCAACACACCCGAAACCCTGAAAATATCCCATGCCCCAAACACCTGAAGATTAAACCCTATTCCTAAACACCTGAAGATTAAAGCCTTATAATACAAAATCACCAAACACCCTCCTACCCCCCCCCCCTTTTCCCGACCCACCAAAGAAAAACAAACGCCTCAACCCTCCAGACATCTCGCAGTCTCTCCAAAAAAAGCCACCACCCTGAGCACCTAGCACCATCAAAACCCCCCAAACCCTAAACCCTACCTAAACCTCCGAAACCTATTTGTTTGTAGGTTCAAATTATGAACCCTAATATGGAATTTATAGGGACCCTACCAAAAAAAGTAGGTCTTGGTAGGTTAAGGTAAGCCCTAAACCCTAAACCGCCCTATACATCTGCCTCACTCCAGGGCAGCTGCTGCGCCACCGCCAGGGTCTGGACCTGGGGAAGAAAAAGGGCGAAGGGTTGAAGGGCTTGGGGCTTAGGGCTCAGGGTTTAGGGTTTAGGGTTTAGGGTTTAGGGTTTAGGGTTTAGGGTTTAGGGTTTAGGGTTTAGGGTTTAGGGTTAAGGCTTGGGGGTTAGGGGTTGGGGGTTTTTAGGGTTCAAGGTTAAGGGTGTAGGGTTCATGACTCAGGGTGTAGGGTTTAGGGCTTCGGGTGGTTCAGGGTTTTGGGAGTTCAAGGGTTTCAGGGTTTAGGGTTTGGGGTTTAGGGCCAGCTTATGGTTCATGGCTGTGGGGGGCCATCTACAGGAATCTTCATTGGGGGGGGTTGACGGGCTTTGAAGACTCCTTCCAGTTGCAACGATTGTTTATAGAGCATTTGTAGGTCGTCTGGCACAGCCCAGCTAGGCCCTATAAAATCGAAGAAGCATAAAAACAGCCCCACGAAACCCCTCCAAAATCGTATAAAAGCCCTTCGAAGACCGATCCTCCAAAATCGTATAAAAGCCCTTCGAAGACCGATCCTATAAACACATCCAGGAAACCAAAACCCCTGATATGCCTAAACATCCTTTCAATTTTTTTACATTCCTCAGAAATTAAAATACACCTTAAAGCATCTAAAAAACTCGAATGTAGGGGCCTTAACAATTAGAACAGGGTTTTGGGGGCTCCTTATGATAATTAGAATATGATATACCCCCAAGCACCATTCTACTTATTCAGGCCCCAATATTATAGAACCCCTATAGTAACCCTTCTAGTACCCTAAACCCTAAACCCTAAACCCTTTTAAGGAACCCTAAAAGGAACCCTATTCTACTTATTAAGGCCCCTATATTATAGAACCCCTATAGTAACCCCTATTGTATCCCTTTTAAGGAACCCTAAAGGGAACCCTATTCTACTTAGTAAGGCCCCTCCATCAAAAAACACTCAGCCCGAGGTTTCGGCAGTTTGCTGCAGATCGAAGTTCTCCGGGTATCGGTCCTCGATGCTTGGGCAGGGTTTTAAGGTTTAGGGTTTAGGGTAAGGTTTAG